CACAGCAGCCCACTGCAGCCCACGCCATTGCCAGCAACTCATGACAGCCCAGCTCCAGGTTGAGCTGCTGTTCACCATCTTAGCTGTAGAGGGCGTAACATCACTGGTCGGCATGTGGGATCTGAACTGGGGCCCTGCTGCTCAGAACTGGCATCCTAAGCCAACTCCTAACCAACGCGCCACTTGGCCGGCCCCCTTCTCTGTTTTCCTTACCAGCCTCTCTTCCTCTCAGTGTTGGAGGGCCCCAGGGTCTGACTTTGTCTCTCCTCTTACTACATTGTCTCCCTATATGATCTCACATAGGCTTATGGTTTAAATTGACCTGAGGACTCTCAAACTTACATTATTCAACCTAAACCTCCCCTCTGAGTTCCCTGGTCAACTCCACTTGGAATTTGAAAAGATATTTCAAAAGATCAAATGGCCAAACAGAGTAACTGATTTTAGACCCAACCTTCTCTCACCCCCTCTCTTCCTGACCTTCCTCACCTGTAAATGACAGCAGCACCTACTTAGTTGCTCAAGGTAAAAACGTGTGGGGTCATCTTTGATTTCTCTTTTTCTCTCATTCCACACCCAGTCTGTCAGTATATATATCTCCAAGATGTATCCCCAGTGCAGCCTCTTGTCACCATTTCCAGTGCTGCGTCCCTGGTGCAAGCCACAGCCTTCTCGCTCTGGGACCCCTGCGATGGCTTCCTAGCCGCTTTCCTCCCCTCCCAGTCCCTTCTTGTCCATCCTCCATGCAGCAGCCTTCTGAAGCATAAGTTTGATTCTGTGTCTGCTTAAAAACTAACAGTGATCTTTACTGAAACTGGAAGTACATAAATCTACACCATTTATCAAAGCTACGAGGCTTCTGCCTATGTCTCTGACCTTGCCCCCGTCTGCTCTCCCTCGAGCCCTTGCACGAATTCCACGGACCTCTCCAAGCATCTTCCTCTCTAATGGACTTTGCACTTTCTGTTTCTTCCACTTGGAAGCCAGATCTTTAGCACGTGTCAGTGCCTGAAATTACCCTTGTCATGTATTTGTTTTCATACGTGTTGCATGTTCCCACAACCCTCCACTCCCGAACAGAAGAGAACAGGAGCTCTTGTCTGTCTTGTTTACAGCTGTGTGCCTAGAGTCTGGGGCAGGGCCTGACTCAGGAGAAGCTCAGTATACATTTGCTGACCTGACTGTGAGGACTACAGCTAAGATGGTTAGAGCTGGAAGAGAAATAGTCCAACCAGTCATGGTTTCACAAATGGCGAAACAGAGGCACAGAGTCACTTGTCCAGCGGCACGAATGCAAACTTATGCAAGTCCGGTTGATCACGCACAATCCTGAGGTATTTTCCCATAAACAGTAGTAGCCACTAAAAGTGAGGGTTAGTTTTTTCCCCCCTACAAGCTCCATGCCAGGTTATCATGAAAACAGATCTCAGAACAAAATCTGTCACCCACACAAATATTTATAAAACAAACATTTATTAGGCAAGTAGCCACAAAACCAGTTCATACCACCTGTTCTGTATTCAGTGAAGGCCCAGCTCTCTGTCCTTTGAGATGCTCTATCACCTTGTATGAAGGCTCCACACAAGGAAGATATGACAGGATTCACTTAGACTGAGGGCCATATCAGGCAACCAGAATAGCTCGGGACAAGGAACCCTCAAGGGTTCAGCCTGATGCATCATCCCTAAGTGAGATTCTTTTACTCTGCACAATGAATGGGTATCCCCAAACCATTTTAGCCAATTTACATATCCTTTTTTTTTAAAGATTTTTATTGGGGAATTGGGGAGGGGAACAGTGTTGAGGAATTGGGGGAGGGGAACATTGTGTTTGTCCAGGACCCATCAGCTCCAGGTCAAGTTGTTGTCCTTCATTCTTAGTTGTGGTGGGTGCAAGCTCAGCTCCAAGTTCAGTCGCCGCTTTTCAATCTAATGGCAGGGGGTCTGCAGCTCATCATCCCATGCGGGAGTTGAACTGGCAACCTTGTTGCACACTGAGCCATCCAGCTGCGCGACGGCAGCTTGCGCCTGCTTAGCTCAAGGTGCTGTGTTCAATCTTAGTTGTGTGTGTTTGTGTGTGTGTGTGTGTGTGTGTGTATGTGTGTGTGTGCAGCCCACCATCCCATATGGGTGTTGAACTGGCGACCCTGTTGCTCAGAGCTCTTGCTCTTAACCAACTGAGCCACTGGGCCAGCCCAGCCAATCTACATATCTTGAATACTACTAATTTCACCAAAGGAAAGTTCATTTCTAATGCCCATTATGCTAATTAATAAGCATGAATTTCACTGATTATCTATACTAATCAGTGAAGCTTCAAGGGTAGATTGAGACTTGGAGAGCTGCAGAGGCTACTGAGCTGATTGTGTGTGATTGTTTAGTTTCTTCTTTTTTTTTTTTTAAATTGGGGAATTGGGGGAGGAACAGTGTTGGGGAATTGGGGAGGGGGACCAGCCAAGTTGTTGTTCTTCAATCTTAGTTGTGGAGGGCGCCAGTTGCCATCTGGCTGCCCGTCCGCAGCTCATGGCCTCTAAGTTCAAGGTGCTGTGTTACAATCTTAGTTGTGGGTGGGCGTAGCCCCCATCCCATGCAGGAGTCAAACTGGCAGCCTTGTTGTTAATAGCGCATGCTGTATCCACTGAGCCATCCGGGTGGCAGCTCAGCTCAAGGTGCCGAGTTCAGTCTTAGTTGTGGGCGGGCGTAGCCCACCATCGAATAGGCAACCTTGTTGTTAGGAGCATGTGCTCTCAGCAGCTGAGCCATCCTGCCACCTGTTGGCAGCTTAGCGGCAGCTCAGCTCGTGCGCAGCTTTACTGGCCCATGTGGGACTCAAACCGGCGGTCCTGTTACTCAGAGCTCTCGCTCTTATGTTAACTCTTAACCAACTGAGCCACTTGGCCAGCCCTGTTTAGTTTCTTCTTAACTCCTAAGTTCATTGACTTGGAATTGGTAACTTGAAATCAGATATGGTAGAAGTATTTACACTATGGAAATTGGTAACAGGGTCCCCCTCCATGGAAAGCCAGTCATTAAACACTTATCAGCACACCACTAGATAGCTGAGTTACCCCTGCAGTATGGCCTTTCTGATAAAATGCTGGATGACCACCTCATGCTCATGACTACTTCTAGACCAGTGATGCTCTCTGCCTTGGCTGCACTTTAGAAAGTACCTGGGACCTTTAAAACACTACTGATTCCCAGGTCTCTGTAGGTGGAGATTCTGACTTGACTGGGTTGGGGCTTGGCTCTCAGGATACATTTAAAGTTTATCAGGTGGTTCTAATTTGAAGTCCAGGTCACACTCACACTTGTATGTCACACTATCTATGCCACATATTCTAACAGTCTCACAAAAAAATTAATAGCAAAACCAGGCTTAGCACCAGACCTGCTGCCCACCCCCCAGCCCAGAGCTCCTGGCAAAAGATGGAAAAGTTGAAAATAGGTTGCTACTTTTTCTGAGGTTTCAGTGTTTGCCAATGTGGCTGAGGGGCAGCCCTCAGTACTTGAGGGGTCAGGGTGGGGGTGGGGAGGGACAGTGAAGGAGCCCAGGAGCCCAGGGAAGGCTGTGCCAACCCCAAAGACCCCAGGCTCCCTCTCCAGGGGTGTCTCACCCTCATCCCTCAGGGCATCTTACAGGTGTGTGTGTGTAGGCTAGGAAGCTAACCCCCGGGGAAAGGGAGACAGGCTAACCCTTCAGAGGGCAAGGTGCTAGACTAGCCCTTCAGGGAGTGAAGACCAGCACCTCAAAAAGTGGGTGCATGACTAGATCTGCAGGACTGGGTGAGAGAAGCTAGTTCTCCAAAGAGGGGCAAGGAGTTAGTTTTCTCCTCAAACGACAGGAAAGACAACTTTTATCACTGTGGTAGGATGTCTTCTAGGACCTTAGTTAATTATCTGAAGGTAACCTGCAGCAGTCCCTGGTTCCTTGTCTCTACCTAACGTGAACACCTTTGCAGGGCCTGCTCCTTTTGTACCAGGAAATTGACTTCCTGGTAACCCATCTGGGCAGGACATTGCTCCCTCCCCACTCCCAACCTTATTTTTTTCCTTCTAGGGCAGAGCCCGGGAGCTGAGCTGGCTGTGTGTCTGTCTCTTTCCAGGAGTCTGTGTATACAGGAAGCTTGGGAGTCCAGGACAGGGGACATGGACAAGGGTGCCATCCCTGCAGTCACCACCAGGGACCCCACCCAGCACTCCCTTGAGCTCCTGACCTCTGGGCCACACATTTAATTACTGAAAGCCACAAACAGATTGTCTGGTTCCCAAGCCCCAGATGAGCTAGGCCTGGGAGGCAAGGAAACAGCCGTGAGTCAACATGGGGCCACGTAGCTATGGGAGACGACATGTCTGGCACCAAGCAGAGGAAAGCCTGGTGGGAAGAGGCCGGGTCAGACCTGGGCTGAGTGTGTGCAAGGAAGGGGGCTGCCAACCTGGCCTGAGGATGGGCTTCCCAGAGGAGGATGCTCCTGGGGACAGGGTTGGGACCTCACCTGGCCACTGAGAAGGGTATTCCCGAATTGGAGAAAGGGGATCTGTTACAAAAGGAAACTCAGGGCTCCAGCTTCATGGGGGTCCTTTAGTCCCACCCCGGTCTGCTTCACCTTCTTAGATGTGGCACTCCGCCCCTCTCAGGCTGAGCAACTCTACTTCCTTATTTCATTCACGTCTTGCACCCTTTAGCTGTTAGGTTCTGCCCTTTTCCCATAGTCTTACCTCTTGACAACAGTGGAAAGTGTGTATTTCTATGTACCCGGGGTTAGGCACGCTCGCTCTCTCCCTAGAGCTCCTCTGTACACACTCTATCAGGACCCATCAGTACAGGCATTTTCAGAATTGCATGCGACGTCCTAGGAGAAACCCTCGCCCCCTCTCCTCCCCTATCCTCTCCTGGGTCCTGGGGCATAGCCCCGCCCTCATCCCGCCCCCTCCCAGAGGCTGGGCCGCTGCCTCGCGCCCATTGGCCGCTGGGGCTGGCTGGTCTGGGCCTCGGCTGTGATTGCAGCTCGCCAGTGTCAGTCCCCGAGCGGTCGCGGTGGCGGGGAGGGCAGCCGGGCAGGCAGCCGCAGGTGGGGCTGCTCGCAGTCAGGGACCTAGCCGGGGATCCCGGGAGCCCTGCACCGGGAGTGCCCAGGATGCCCCGCGGGGACTCGGAGCAGGTGCGCTACTGCGCGCGCCTCTCCTACCTCTGGCTCAAGTTCTCGCTCGTCATTTACTCCACAGTGTTCTGGGTGAGTGACCAGTAGGGCCCAGGGATGGGGGGCACACACTCCCTCGACCACCCCCACGCCGATCATGGGTTTGGGTCTAGACTTGGCTGCTCCTGAGAGTGCGCGCGGGTTGGGGAGCACGCCTGGCTCCTCCCCCCACTCTCCCTGGGAACCGGGAAATTCAGGCGGCCGAGCTCAGTTTGAATTTCAGCCGCCGGGTCGGGATTGTTAGAACTGGTGAGCTACCACAGAGTAGCATCACCTGGCTCACCTGCGTGCACCAGGGGTCCGGTCCTCCGCGGCCGCTGCGCATCGTCTGGTGGTTCCGGCATCCGCCGCGCCCACCCCGCCTGTCAGGTTATTACTGAGTTTGCCTCCCTATCAACCTGTGGAGCAGACGTGGTCAGGCTTTGTGGCCCTGGACTCCCAGTCCCGTTCCCACTATTTACTTGCTGATGCCCCTGAACAAGATGTTACCTCACTGCTCTTGGTTTTCTCTGGTTGGAAGGAGGATGTACCAGGAGGATGTGCGTGCCTTGCCGGGGAGCGGGTGGGAGGATTCCACCAGACCACATCTGGAGAGGTCTCCGGCTGCTCCTAGGTACTCAGTAACTATTTCCGCGCCCACTGGGCTTTACCGCCTCTTCTGTCTTGTCGCGGGTCAGGATGGTAGTAGTTAGACAGGAGCAAGCCTTTGAAACCTGCCGCCACCACTTTCTAGCTGAGTGATCTCGGGAAAGTTACTTCAGTTCTCTAGGGCATAGTTTCCTCATATGCAAATGGAGACAGTAATTATATTTCAACTTTTAGGATGGTTGTGGAGATTAAATGAAATAGGCCAAGTACTTGCTTAGCACAGGGACCGTGAAGAAGAGCTCAAGTGTGACCTGCTTTTATTATTATGGGCAGGGAAGTTGGGACCTCTTACTACACTGGCCCAAGAGGCTGGATTTCCTTTTTTTAAAAAAAAAATTATTTTTTTCAGTTATAGTTGACATCCAATATTATTTTATATTAGTTTCAGGTGTACAGCATAGTGGTTAAACATTTGTATAATGTATGCAGTGATCCCTCCGATTAGTCTAGTACCCACCTGGCACTATACATAGTTGTTGCAACATTATTGACAATATTCTCTATGCTGTACTTTACATCCCTGTGAAAGACTGGGTTTCTTTATGGAGATTTCAGACTAGGCTAGCCCCCGCCTAGAAAATGAAGACATCATTCTACAGTCTAACTCTAGTCCTGGCACTGTGGAATAGTCCTCTGCCCCCAGTATGCCACAGGGCAGACTTGCTCAGGGACAGGAGAGGGTGTAACTGACACTCATCCCCCAAAACACACACACTCCAGGTCTCCTCCTTGGGTCTATTCTGCTGGAAGGAGCTGCTAGATCTGTCATCAGGCCTGACTTTCCATGTGATCCCCTCTGTAGATTGTGACCTTGCCTAGTGGTCAAGAGATCCAGATTCCAGTTTTTTGTTTGTTTTGTTTTTAAGATTTTTATTGGGGAATTGGGGGAAGGGAACAGTGTTGGGCAATTGGGGAAGGGGAACAGCCAAGTTATTGTCCTTCAGTCTTAGTTATGGAGGGCGCAGCAAGCTCAGCTCCAAGTCCAGTCACCATCCAGCCACCCTTTGGCAGCTCGTGGCCGCTCAGCTTAAGGTGCCGTGTTCAATCTTAGTTGCGGGTGGGTGTAGCCCACCATCCCATGTGGGAGTCGAAAGGAAATCTTGTTGCTAAGAGCACACGCTCTAACCATTGAGCCATCCCGCAGCCTGTCGGCAGCTCAGGGCAGCTCAGCTCTGGCTCAGCTCACTGGCCCATGTGGTAATTGAACCGGCGACCCTGTTGCTCAGAGCTCGTGCTTTTAACTAACTGAGCCACTCGGCCAGCCCCCAGATTCCAGTTTTGTTCTGTTACTTACTGGGCAATCTTAGGCAAGTCACTTCCCTGTTTGAAGCCTCTGAGCTGTTAAATGACTTGCCCATCTAGAAAACTAGGTGAGCTCAGTTCACAATCTGATTCTCTGACTCAAAGTAACATGGGAGAGAGGTGAGCAGTAAGTTTAGGGGCCAGAGGATGGAACATGGACCTGTTGGTGGCAGCTCCAGGGAGGCAGAGCATTGTATGTGGGATTGCGGTGGGGGTGATTTGAGCTTTCATTCAATGTTGGGTTCTCACCCAATGTTGCATCAAAATCAACTAGAAAGTTTTAAAAACACTACAGATGCCTGGGCATAGGTATTTATTTAAATTCATTTAAGCTCTCCAGGTAATTCTATTGTGTAGTCAGGATTGAAAACTGCTGGGTTAGATGGTCTTCTAGGCTCCTCAATTCTGATTCTGGGATTCTTTGCCTGCTCCTTGCTTGCCTGGCCTCAAGGACTCTTCTCTCTGTAGGTCAGAGTTGAAAGACGGAAGGCCAAGGCTGATGGGTGGGGAGGTGGGAAAATCAGGGAAGACCAGGCGTCAGAAGGTGAGGGTTATGTTTCTGGCTTCACCCCTTCTCTCCATATGTAATCACTGACCAGTGTCTTTACCTACTTGCACCTCTATTTTCCCATCTTGAAAACAGATCACCGATATTGTGTTCCATATCTTGTTGGACTCTTTTTGGGATTAGTGATGTGGCGAGATAGTGACATGTGGGCAAGCCCAGTGCGATATAAAAGAAATTTATACCATTAAAGCTAAACTTGACTATTCAAGGCTTTATTCCGCCATTGTCCCCTATGTCCCAGAGAGGTAACCACCTTACGGCCTTTGTTTTGCTTCTTCTCTTGGGGGCAGGATGGGACTCAGAACTTGGAGCCCTTTCTCTCCAGCCAACTGAGATTGCCTTACCAAGTCCTTGACTTCTTATCTCTGGAAGTTTTTCTGCTTAAAAATCTCCCCACCCATGCCAAGAACTCAGCCACCTGCCAACTCTGCCAGGGCAGTTCCAGGTGCCAGAGTTTGACTGCAGGGTGGAGGCCCAGTGTAAGTAATTTTTCCGAGACTGGGTTTGCTGCTAATTGGAAATCATTACAGGAAAGCCCATTATTGCTGGTACCATCCCTTAAGAGGAGTGGTGCCAAGGGTGACTCGCTTTATAAGCCCAAAGTGCTAACACTTTCAGTCTTTAGATCCGGAAGGGGCCATTCATTTTACCATAGCCATGCACCTTCTGTAAGACTTTTTTGCTTTAAAACTTATGATCAAGTAATGACATTGTACAAAATTTAAAAGTACAAAAGCATAGTCATCAGTGATGAGCCTCCCTCCTACCCATCCCTTGGCCTGTCCCATCCACATCCATTATCAGTTTCTTGTGATTCTTCTCTGAGCTCATATCCTAGCCATAGGATGCCCTAAGCACACACATGTGCGTGCATCATATAGTCTTTTTTTTTCCACACAAGGTAGCACACTATACACAGTTCTGCCCTTACATTTTCACTTAAAGTTAAATCCATGTAAATTTTGGAGCTCTGCTAGGGGCTGCCTCATTCTGTTTGATAGCTGCATAGATTTAACTCTAAGCTATGCCGACATTTATTAAATCAGTTCCCAGCTGGGGAACTCAGGTTGTTTCCAATTTCTAGTTACTGTAAACAGTGCTGCAGTGAGTATCTTTGAACGTGTTGCTTTGCACATATGTGTGTATGTCTACAGGGTAATTTCTAGATGTGGAATTGCTGGGCTAAAGGGTATGTAAATGTATAATATACATACAGAAATGCACTGACCGTAAGTGTATACAGCTTGATGAATTTTTGCAAAGTGAATACACATGTATAATGAGCTCCCAAGTCAGCAACAGAATGGACTGCAGAAGTCAGAGCCCGCCTTGTTACCCCTCCAGTCTCTACCTCTGCCCTCCAGTGGCAATAACTATTGAAATGTCTAATAGTCTAGGTAGGACAGCTTTGCCTGGTTTTGTATGTGCACTTACAAGGTTGATAGGTGGTTTTAAATTGCCCTATGTAGAGGTTTTACCAATTGTACTATTACTATATTTGTTTAAACTGACTCGCTTTTTAAACTTAAATTTGTTTTTAGAAGGAGAGCTTATATCACGACTGCCAATGGGGAACCAATATGCCCTTATTAAAAATAGCAGGTAATGGTTACAATACATACAATGCAGGGAAAAACAAAACGTTATTAAATCATAGCTTGATATTGTGGGTGCTGTAGGCTGTGAACCTGAGGCCTGCCCTCTTTGTTCAAAAGGCAGATTGGCAAGCGTTTGAGAGGCTTCAAGACAAACTGGCACCAAAACTGGTTTGCTCCTTGATGTAATCGGGAGGGTTGGAAGGGAATTGAGCAATGAAAACTTTTCTCAGTCTATGAGTCAATATGAGTGTGACCGTGAACCACTTACAGTGATCTCCTTTTCCCCTCTGTTTTCAGAAGGAAAGCTCAGGGCCCAGAGAGGATGTGTTTCAGGGCCACTCAGCAGAGTTGGCATGAACCCTCAGTTGTCCTTGTCCCCAGCTCATGCTCCTTTCGGTAGGTTGCTGAGGATGTCTCCATGAGCAGTGAGCTCACCCAGAGGCCCTTAGAGCCTCTTCTTCCCACCACGCAGGGTGAATTATTCTGACACATGTGCCCTCAGCCCACTGGGGACACACCTCTAATTTTAGCACTGACCACAGGGTATTCTAGAGATCCATTTACACAACTGTTTTTTCCTGCTGGACTGTGGGCTCCTGGAAGTCAGGAGTGTCACTCATTCATATCTTCTTCCAAATGCTGGTCGTGGGGCCCGGCACACAGTAGGTGCTCTGGGGAGGCTTGTTTTCTTGGGGTGGTAGAGTCCCAAACTCGGTCTTGTAAGCAAGGATCTGAGATGGCAGTGTTTGGATTAGAGGCTAAACTGGGTGTGTGGTTAGATTTTGCCAGCAGTGGTTAGATTTTGCTGAGGCCTTGAATTTGCAAAGTGGACTGGGCTGATCATGGAGAGATTGACTCTCTAGAAAGCACCAATCCTGTTGCCTTGACAAGTGAGGTGTTGACTAATCATTCTTAGT